TGAATCGCTTAGACTTTGATAAATATGTACGTATAAGTTTTATTATTTATTTATTTATTCTTTATTATACACCAAAATAGGGAATAACGAGTGTTAGGTATGCTACATGCACAAAGTTCAAAAACTTTATTAAACTATGTTTGTATAAAAAGGGTTATTATAATATTAAGGAATTTATGGATGACAATAACCCCTGGGAACTGTGATCGCTACCAAGCTATTTCTAATTTGTTTTGTATTGTAAATGGTAACATACATGATTGTAAGCTGTTATTTAAAAAAAAATGTCCCGCTGGGTTTCTTGCTGGTCCTTCTCAGGACAGATTTTTGCGAACCAGTGGTAAATGAAAAACAAGTGACTTTTAATAAGTATTGTTTATAATCTACATTGAATAAAAAAGTTTCAGTTTCTGCTATTCCTTTCAAAACACATCTAATATGTTTTTTAATGTGTAGCGGAACCTAAGGCCAAAATAGATGTGTAAAGTAGGATGCTGTGGAACGAAGAACTTACCTGTATTTTTTAATAGGATAGGTTGACAAAACAAACAGTCCACCTGATTGTAAGCGGTTGCTGTGACCCAAAGAGATCTACATCTATCCTCAAATACAAATCAAAATGCAGATGCGTTGTCACCCGTAAGGGCTAAAATGGAATGCCTCGTTTCCAGCAAAAAGGGTCGCCACTTCTCTACACTCACCATACGAAACACAGCAGCGTTGATCTGTTATTTTACGTTGGTATTCTGTGAGAGCGTGGTCCTTCCCCGGTCTATCCGACTTATTCGTGCTACAACTATACTACTTATATATTTGCAGCATAGCTCTATCACGTAGTCTAACTTCCTAATGTCTATCCTGTATTAAGAATCGCAATTCAAATGGGCAAATGGTTTGTCTTGAAAACTAAGATGGAATGGTTAGTTTCCAGTAAAAACGGTAATTTGTTTCTTTGTTCGTAGTACGTACATCAATGGAATCGAATAATTTGCCAACATTTGTCTTTCTTTCAATCCGATGAAGATGCGGGCGACTTCGAAACAAAAGTGAATAGGTTTTGTTAATCTAAGCTGAGTTTGCCATTTTCGGTTACATCACCCCTTACCATTAGCTCAAGAAGGAAGTCAAACACTTGCAGTGATGTTTAATAAAACGTCACCGATTTCCGTCACTCACAATAAAAAACACAGCAGCATTAGGCTGCTATTTCATTGATATTTCACTTTACATGATACCTATCTTCATTAATTACCATTCAAAATACTTACATAAAGACTCGAAATGAAAAGGTAATTTGTGTGTTGAGTAATAATTACAAGTATCGATCGGAATTTGAATCCAGGGCCTGTGACTTAGTTGCAGAGCCCCGCGGCCAATTTATAAAAAATGCGTCAAGTGTATAATTTTTATACGCACCTTGTATATTACGGACTCATTCAATATTAGATCAAAATTAATATTTATGAAACTAATTTATGCTTTCACCACTGGTTCAAAAAGCTACAATAAAGATTTATGAACAAAGTTTATGTTGACTAGGCGAATTGTATTTTTTTTGCCATAAATAATAAATACCTATATAAAGTATATTTATTTCATTTATAATATAAAACATTTTTATTGTATATATATGTGCTGTATATGTATATTGTGTGTAAGTTCACACTTTGAGTACTTATAATTTCTTAAACTACCCTTCATTACGTCTGCTGGAAGAAATTTCATTTTCAATTTATTTTCACCATTTTTCTATCAAAGTGTGTGTGTACAAACTACTTAATAAACAAAAAAAAACGTTCTAATCAATGTAATACGTTTTTCTTCTTTATTTTCATGTGCCCGTTGTAGAGCTCTCCTCGTAGTAGGTGCGTTGACCATCGCAGTACCAAACGTTCCGCACCCTTGCTCCTGCTTGTCGTTGCCATCTGGACATTTAAGTCAGCTGCAAACGATATGGTTGTACTGTTATCGTTCGGACGCCTTAATATCCCTCTGGCATATCCTATATCCAACGCTTACTCACATCACAACCCATCACTCCATTTCGTAAACGTAAAGCCACGCTGCAGCTATAATATGGTTGTAGCACAAATGACCCATAACTATTAAAATATCAGCTTAATGCTTCTGTGTTCCGTATCCTTCTGTAAACGAGGCATTCCAATGTTAGTCCACAGAGGTGGCAACGCATCTTCGTTTTGATTCTTGATCGAGGATAAATGTAGATGTATATCAGCCACGGCATGCACTTTTTTCAGGTGGACTGTGTGCTTTTTTGTCACCCTTATTATATAAAAAATAATCTCTAAGTCTCTTACGATTTCACTTAACTAAGCATCACACACCTACGTTTTTTATCTACAGCTGGCGGTGTGATATAAATACAATGTGATATGCTATTAAGTATATAATAACTTATAGTTTATAACTTGGAGTTTTTGTTCATACTCACCAATCTACTGTACGTGAGCAAGCCGGGTTCGATTCCCGCAGACACCAATGAAATTTTTAGTGCTGATTTAACACGTGCTCAGCAGTGAAGGAAAACATTGTGAAGAAACTTGCATGTCTAAAAAATTTAATATTTCGAAGATATGTGAAGTCTGTTACTAACACGTATTGCAGCAGCGAAATTTAGGACTGGCGACCACAGTAACAGACGTCTCCTCGCTCGTAACATTTACGCTGCTTGCTGTCGATAAGTTAGCTTCTTTTATAGAATAAGGGTGACGAACGAGTACACAGTACTCAATGGTAAGTGGGTGCTGTGGCCAATGAAAGATCAAAATATAGATGCGTTTTCACCCTTGAGGACTGAGATGGAATGCCTCGCTCCCATTAACAAGTGTCACTCACCTACACTCACCATACTAAAAACATCAGCAATAAGCTGGTGTTCTGTGAGAGCGTGGTCCTGCCCCGGTCGAGCTGACCCACACGCACCACAACAATAATACAGGCTCAGCGTGGTTCTACCATGCATAAAAACAACATATAAAAGCTACGAGTGCAAAAAAAATAGTTAGATTGACATTTAGCAAATATTAATTTAGACCCTTGACATTATTTATTAGTTATACTCGGAAGTCTTGTTTCTGCGAGTTGATCTGGATTCTGACGTTCATGGGAGCTTTAAATAAGCGTAAATTAAACAAAAAGTTCTGATTTTCACATTGACTATAACTACAGTAAGTCCGTCCCTAAGTCCCCAGCACTAGAGTAAGTCAGGGCTTCTTAAAAACTATGGCCGAGTTAGCCAGATAAATTAAAACTAAAATTTTTACGTGGTAGAGCCATGCTGCAGTTATATTAGTAGTATAGTTGTAGCACGAATGGGTCGGCTCGACCGGGGAAGGATCACGCTCTCACAGAATACCAGCGTGAAATAGTTAGTAGCTTAATGCTGCTGTATTTCGTATGGTGAGTGTAGAGAACCGGCGACCCTTTTTACTGGAAACGAGGCATTCCATCTTAGTCCTCACTGGTGACAACGCATCTGCATTTTGATTTGTAATCGAAGATAGATGTAGATGTCTATGGGCCGCAGCAACCACTTACCATCAGGTGGACTGTGTGCTCGTTTGTCACCCTATCCTATAAAAAAAAACTACAAAGATTGTTTAACTAAAAACAACCTTTAAACAAAAAATTATCATATCTAATTAAAAGCCAAAGACTAAATTACTTCCTGTGGTCATAGTAGCACCTATGACCACAAAGCATTCACAACGACAGGAATTAAAAACAATAGGAAACTTGAAATGAAATAGGAAAAGAGGAGTTTAAATAAAATGCTCTGACCTTAATCAAGAATTTTATGTCACAGATATAGCATTTGATTTTGAAACGTGAAGATATGGAAATGTATTTGGACTAAACAAAATCGGATTCGTTACAGTTACTGGCTACTGAGGACTTAAAAATGAATGGACATCCACTACTTTTTTGCCACCAGGGCGGCGCCACTTTAATATTAGGTGTACCTAATATTTGACAGATTTCATAGCGGGGATTATGGAGTGTAGAGGTAAGGAGTACAGACTCTGTATAAAAAAGTGTCCGTAGCCGAAAGCGCTAAATAAGGGTGGCGCCACTGTAGCTACAGTCTAAATTTTAAAGAACTTTTTATAATTTTTTTATTGTACAGACATTCACCACAATTCTTTTTACAATAATTATTTAATTGCTTTTAAAATTTTTATTTTCAAGTTAACTCTCAACGTATTTTAAGTCGATTTAACATATCCCGTAGCTACTCAAACTTCTTCAAACTTTTCAACTATTCTCCTATGGGAGTTGGTACTCCTTACTTCTACACTCCATGGTGGGCAAGTTAATTTGTTCGAAAAATATAGGTTAATGGTAATGATTATAAAGGTTTATCTTTCTTTCTATACTATTAGTTATATTATATTAATTACATTAAAAATAAATAAACCTAACAACTTATATTCATAAACGTAGAAAAATTTAAAAAAGAGTTAAAAATGTGCAAAAAATTAAAGAGCAAACTACTGAGGCACTGTTATCTATTAATATAATACTCTAGAATTAGAAACTGATAAACTTTTATTTAAAACTAATTTCATAATTTAATGTCATTGTGTAACAAGTAACTTAACCTCAATGTCACTTAGCGACATCTGGTGAGGGGAAGATTAGAAGCCCTCATAGCGTTAGTCGCATCATCATCCCGTGGGTGCCGTAAGAGGTAACAAAGGGAAACAAATCAGGAGATGATCAGCAGCGTCGTCCTGATAACGATTAAAACTAAAAAACTGCGGTTGCCACCTCGCTTGCCAGGCGTGGCAACTATGAAAAACTCTTTTAGGCAATCTGCGGGGGAGGCCTACGTTCAACAGTGGACATAGGTCCCCCGTAGATTAACACATATACATATAGGCTGTCACGATAGGGGTTAGTCGTAAATGTATATTACCTATAAAAAGCAGCATTTATGTCCTATGGGAAAAACCCACTTGCTTTGCGCGTTTACAGTCATGAAACGTCGCAGCGCAATCGAGGCCAGCGCTAAACATTTTAACGGGACACAAAAATCTCACCATCAATTCGTGTTTGATACGAAACGACATGTCCGCATGATTGATCGTCTGTACCCGGACGACGTGACTGAAGAGAGGCGCCCATTACAAACCGCCATCAAACAAAAGTCGGCCCGTGATGGCCGAAAGCGTGCGAAAGGCGGCGTCGAGGAGGCACGATCGCTGATGGGTTATGATGACGAACCACTCGTCAGTTTTACAGCGCACTTGGTTGTTGGTTGAAGCGCTGTAACAAAGGCACGTTATAAACGTATTATAATATGTATTTATTAATGCATGTAACATGGCTCGGAAGACAATGGTTCGTCTTTAAATTTTATAGTACGCAAGCAAGCCAAGTTCGATTCCAGCTGATACCAATGAAATTATTCATTGCATTTTTAAGTACTGATTTAACATGTGCTTTGTTTTAGCGTGTGTTTTCGACGAGGTAGAGCCACGCTGCGAATATATTATCGTTACAGCAGGAATGGGTCGGCTATACTAGGGATGGACTACACTCTCACAGAATATCAGCATAAAATGGGAGCTTAATGCTGAAGTATTTCGCCATGCGAAACACTTCAGCTACCTACCTACTCCTATAGTATGCAAATTATATACCTACAAATTATAGTTTTACAGAAAATGCTGTTTTAACCAGTACACGTTAGTTAGTGCACTGCTTATGACAGCAGATATAAGCAAGGGATTGAGAGCAAACCAGATGGATTGATAAAAGGGGGAAAACTTCTTTTCTGTCTAGAATCCATAAACCACCTAGAAAATAATGAAAATAACAATGGAAATAATAATATATTACATAAGAATTTGTAGATGCAGGTGACTCTGGACCGTGCCTTGTGGGATCTACTTGGGAGAGACCTATGTGCATTAGTGGACTTCTGAAGGGCTGATGATGATGATGATGATCATGAAATAAGCATTTGGAGCTTTGAATCAATTTAAATCTAGGTATCGGTAAATCCTTGTATCCAGTAAACCCGGGTTCAAACACTGCCGGCGCGGGCGCGGAGGACACTTCTTTGCCCTAAAACCTTCTCAAAAGTAAATGCAGGGTTGTGTCCATCAGTGGGGCGCATATCTATAGGCTGTAACTCTAACTTTTATCAGTAAATCTTCTTTATACAAATTTCAATCAAGGAACAGCTGGACATTGTGTTAAATGCAGTAGGAACATATAAACTACGCAAAAGATATACTGTTAGTGTTAGATTCCTTTACTCGTACTGGTACTTGTACTCGTATTTAGGAATTTATGGATGATAATAACCCCTGGGAAGGGTGATCGCTACCAAGCTATTTCTAATTTGTCTTGTGTTGTTAATTGTAAACATGATTGTAAGCTATTATTTGAAAAAAAAAATAGTCCCGCTGGGTTTCTTGCTGGTTCTTCCCAGGATAGAGGTTTTTTTGCGAACCAGTGGTAAATGAAAAAATTGACTTTCAATAAGTATTGTTTATAATCTATATTGTATAAAAAAGTTTATGTTTCTGTTTCTGTACTAAACAACTCGGTTAGTACGAGTAAAGGTATCTGTAAGTGAAGGAATCTGCGTGCGTGATATAAAACTTAATTAAGATCTAAGGCAATTAGGGTCTTTGCGGTTAATAAGGGCTTTAGGGAAAGGGAGAATGCGCTGCGCTGCTCCAATGCGTGTTGACGGTATTCAAATTTCTGTTTGTAACCCGTTAACACCTTTATCATCAATCAAAATATAGATGCGTCATTAAATCTGAGGATTTAGAATTCCTCGTTACCGGTAAGTCTCAGATTCTCTATAGCATGCGAAACCCATCTCCTGGTTTAGTTTCTTTCCGTCACATCATTTACATCACCAAAGGGATGATATAGGGTAGGGTAGGGTAGGGGATATTCATACACCACCAAAACACGGTTTCATGGGCGGCGGTAGTCATTATACATAGGTGACACATGGTTTCTCTTCTATATATATATATATATATATATATATATATATATATATATATATATCATTGCGCCTGGCACGCATGTTTACAAAGGACATGATTTTCTTTCCTATTCACTTTTGTATAGTCGAACTGATAACTAATCTCAAATGTACTGCGTTCCTTTTTGAAGCCAATTAAAAATACTTTTGATATTGTAGTGGTTTTTGTTCTAGCCTTCTAGTGGGGGTGTTAGAATATTCACTATCCCGCATGGTCCCGTGGATGTCGTAAAAGGCTACCGGGAGAAACAAAGCAGCACATGGACAGCAACGTCTTCCATATAACTTATATATATAAATTTTCCTTAAAAGAAAAATTGTGCTTGATTGTTAAAATGAAGATGTGTTGTCAGTTGTGAGTTGTGACCCCTTCAGGCGGTACTCTTCAGAGTGAGGACCAGTAAAAAGTTGTCCCAATTTGTAATTTAATGATTTCTTATATTTACGCGAACACTGCACATTTAAATAATACAAGTTTTTACGGATTTTATCGCATATATTAACTTTTTTATATACCCGACGTTTCGAGCACTTTACAGCACCCACGGTCACGGGGGACTGAGATGTTCAACGCCCAGATGTCAAAGTTAACCACAGTTACCACAGATTAAAATTATTAATTTTTGTTCCGGTCTACACAGTATGATCTTATAGTACCTTGAAGTCTTGTAGTTGTATGCTTGGGATTTAATTTTATTAATTATAGGATCCCGAGCAGATGGTAGCGCCCAGCCGTCTTGTCTATTGAAATTAGGATGTTTTTTGATTTCAATTACCTCGGGAATCATCCTTGGAAGGAATCGGTGTTCTTTGACGAGTATTTATGGTCTACTTATCAAATCTAATGTAGTGACGGGGACGATTCTGTCTAATAACCCCCGATTAATTAATTAATGGGGGAGGTCTATGGTCAGCAATGGATTTTTGATAGGCTATAGTGGTAACGGTAAAAAGTTTAAAAAATAGCAGTTATGTTTTGTATAGGTAGTTGAAGCTATAAATAAAAAAATCACAGTGATTTAAACAACGGCAGAGTCGGTAAGGGACGCCCTAGGCGAAAGTTAGTCGACCAAAGTGGCGATCTATTGAAAAGGAGCCAAATTAAGAGTACCCTTAACCAACGAGCATGTATGCGTAGGTATATGGATGTGGAATAGGCGAGAGAGGCGTGTCAATATCGTGCCAAATGGAAGTCAATAGTCTCTGCTTACCCCTCTGGGTAACAGGCGTTAGGCTTAAGTATATGTACGTATGTATGATTTAAGCAATTGTTAAAAAAAATCGGCCTAGAAAACATAAAAAGCAAAACCGATATATTTGAAAAAAAAAAGAACGTATAAGTATTCAAGTATAATAAAAAAACTGCGGTTGCCAAACCACTTACCAAAAATGGCAACTATTGCAGATATCCCCTCTATGAGGCATTCTATGGGGGAACCTAATGAACCTATGTTTATTAGTAGACTTATAGTCTAACGGTTATATGAATAAGACTGAAGTATAAAAATGATAACATTGATGTTGTTATTGCAACTAGCTACTAAATACCTTTATGAACACTTTCGATACTAAATCGATTATTCGCTGTTTCATTGAATGATTAGTTATTTATGGACTATAAAAGATAATTAAACAGCAGAGATATCGATGTGTGCAAATTAATGCAACTTTAATATGGTCCCCATCGATTTTACGTAGGGGGTATCGAGACGATTTATTACAAACACTCTTATGCCGGCTATACATGTTGGCCGAGCGAAGGCGAGTACCAACGTATAGACACCCCATTGGTCTAGCCTCGCCATTACTCGTCGACGCTCGCCTAGCTGGCCGAGTGCAGGCGAGCGCCAACGTGTATACGGTTCGTTTGGCGTGCCTTGCCGCCACTCGGGATCGCTCGCTACCGCTCGTTTACTTCGGAACGGTGTCGGTTTTTCTGCACAAATCAAAGGCGCTCGCTTATGCTCGGCAAGTCGTGTCCACATGTTGACGGTCATGTCAGGCGTCCGTCCCGGTAATATATTTTTTAATTAAATTGCAACTTTAAAATCCTATATAAAAAATACTCTTTGTTTAAATAATTTCGACAATGTCACTCTGTACTAACGAGGACACCTTTAAGTTTTTGGAAATATACAAAAATGAAGCCGTTATTTGGAAGCCCAAAGACTTTACTACGGATTACACTGATATAATAATTATAATATTTATTAAATAAATTGCAGATGCGGCAATAATTTCTACGTCGTCCATATTGTCCCAATTCTCAATGACAACTAATTACGGCCAACTCGTAGATATCTCCACAAAACTTCGTAAACATTGGCCTTGGAATTTGTCTCTTTCGAACTTGACCAACGTGTAGACTGTAGCACTCGCCTTGTATCAATTTGTCTATGCTCGCGTTGACTGATGCTTGGCCAACATGTATTGTCGGCGTTAAAGGTAAGTATGTAAAAAATGAGCGTCATATTGTGGCGATTCGCCTTTCCCTGTTAGCTCTCGTTATGGGAAGCCATGTGTGTGGGAGGGAGATAGATGATACCCACGCTGGGTGGCCGCACGTCCGCGTCTGCAATAATGACTACTAGGGATGTTTTCGTGCAAATTTTCGATAAAATTCATTTCCTTCAAAAATATTGCACTTGGAATTATAATATTAAATTAGGCATATTTATTTCACGCTAATATTTCTAAAAATTTTATTTGCTTTTAAATTTAAGTGTCCGATCGAGGGTCAGTTTTTCGACGAAACCAGAAATAGAACAACTTATTTTCGCTGCAACTTTCAGCCGGAGTCGAAGTTAAAGCCTAAAGAAACTAAAAAAAAATTGGTTGACCCTGCAGGCCATCCCTGGAACTTCCCGCTAATTTCAGATTCAAAGCGCTCCAAATTTCACGAAATTATGACGTTGAACATGAAATATCGGAGTAATTTAAAAAAAATAATATGAAGGGCGCAAACTTGCTCAGTTGCGAAATCTCAAAGTTATGTTAAAAAAATATTTTTTCAAAATTTTCTTCTTCGATATCTCATGAACGGATAGATTGATTTTCATGTTCAAAACGGCATTTGACGCAGTTTTACAGTTCTACAAATAATGTAAGAAGCACAAACTTGCTGGATTGTGAAGTCTCGAAGTTATATTAAAAAACATCTTTTTTTCATATTATTTCTCCTTCGATATCTCACGAACAAATGAACCGATTTTTATTTTTCAAACGGGATTCGACGTAATTTTTTGAGTT